CGCCCCTCGGGGGCCTCGGGCCGCTGGGCGAGTTCCTGCCGCCACCCGAGTGCCCGGTGTTCGAGCCCAGCTGGGAGGAGTTCGCCGACCCATTCGCCTTCATCCACAAGATCCGGCCCATCGCTGAGCAGACAGGCATCTGCAAGGTGCGGCCGCCGCGGGATTGGCACCCACCATTTGCATGTGATGTGGACAAGCTTCACTTCACGCCCCGGATCCAGAGGCTGAACGAGTTGGAGGCTCAAACCCGTGTGAAACTGAATTTCCTGGACCAGATTGCAAAGTACTGGGAGCTGCAGGGAAGTACTCTGAAGATCCCGCACGTGGAGAGGAAGATCCTGGACTTGTTTCAGCTCAACAAGTTAGTTGCAGAAGAAGGTGGATTTGCAGTTGTTTGCAAGGATAGAAAATGGACCAAAATTGCCACCAAGATGGGGTTTGCTCCTGGCAAAGGCGCGGGATCCCACATCAGAGGGCATTACGGGCGAATCCTCCACCCCTACAACCTGTTCTTGTCTGGAGACAGTTTGAGGTGTCTGCAGAAGCCAAACCTGGCCACAGACACGAAGGACAAGGAGTATAAGCCCCATGATATTCCCCAGAGGCAGTCTGTGCAGCCCGTGGAAACCTGCCCCCAAGCCCGGCAAGCAAAGCGCATGCGAGCAGAGGCCATGAATATTAAAATAGAACCAGAAGAGACAACAGAAGCCAGAACTCACAATCTGAGACGTCGAATGGGTTGTCCAACTCCGAAATATGAAAACAAGAAAGACATGAAGAGCAGCATCAAGCAAGAACCCATTGAGAAGAAAGAGCACCTTCTAGAAAGTGAGAGGGAGAAACCCAAGAGTCGACCTAAGAAAACCACCAGTGCTGTGGACCTGTACGTCTGCCTCTTGTGTGGCAGCAGCAGCGAGGAGGACCGGCTGCTCCTGTGTGATGGGTGTGAAGACAGCTACCACACCTTCTGCTTGGTCCCGCCCCTGCACCGCGTGCCCAAGGGAGACTGGCGGTGCCCTAAGTGCGTGGCCCAGGAGTGTAGTAAGCCACAAGAAGCATTTGGCTTTGAGCAAGCAGCCAGAGACTATACCCTCCGAGCTTTTGGGGAAATGGCAGATGCGTTCAAGTCTGACTACTTCAACATGCCAGTCCACATGGTTCCCACCAAACTGGTTGAGAAGGAATTTTGGCAGCTGGTCAGCACGATTGAGGAAGACGTCACTGTCGAGTACGGAGCCGATATTGCCTCCAAGGAGTTTGGCAGTGGCTTCCCTGTCCGCGACGGGAAGGTCAAACTCTCCCCTGAGGAGGAGGAATATCTGGACAGCGGCTGGAACTTGAACAACATGCCGGTGATGGAGCAGTCGGTCCTGGCCCACATCACGGCCGACATCTGCGGCATGAAGCTGCCCTGGCTGTACGTGGGCATGTGTTTCTCCTCCTTCTGCTGGCACATCGAGGACCACTGGAGCTACTCCATCAACTACCTGCACTGGGGTGAGCCCAAAACCTGGTACGGCGTCCCCGGGTCCGCGGCCGAGCAGCTGGAGAGCGTCATGAAGAGGCTGGCGCCCGAGCTCTTCGTGTCCCAGCCGGACCTGCTGCACCAGCTGGTGACCATCATGAACCCCAACACCCTGATGACGGAAGTGCCTGCTGTTTACCGGACGAACCAGTGTGCCGGGGAGTTTGTGATCACGTTCCCGAGGGCCTACCACAGCGGCTTCAACCAAGGCTTTAACTTCGCCGAGGCCGTCAACTTCTGCACGGTGGACTGGCTGCCCCTGGGCCGCCAGTGCGTGGAGCACTACCGCCTGCTGCACCGCTACTGCGTGTTCTCCCACGACGAGATGATCTGCCGCATGGCCGCCAAGGCCGGCGTGCTGGACGTGGTCGCGGCTTCCGCCGTCCAGAAGGATATGGCCATCATGATCGAGGACGAGCGAGCTCTCCGAGAGACCGTCCGCAAACTGGGAGTAATTGATTCGGAAAGAATGGCTTTTGAGCTGTTGCCGGACGATGAGCGTCAGTGCATAAAGTGCAAGACGACGTGCTTCATGTCGGCCGTGTCCTGTGCCTGCAAGCCCGGCCTGCTGGTGTGCCTGCACCACGTGCCCGAGCTGTGCTCCTGTCCTCCTGGCAAATACAAGCTGCTATACAGATACACTCTAGACGACCTCTACCCCATGATGAATGCACTGAAGCTGCGAGCCGAGTCCTACAATGAATGGGCCGTGACTGTGAACGAAGCTCTGGAGGCAAAGATCAGCAAGAAGAAGAGCCTCGCCAGCTTGAAGGCTCTGATGGAAGAGTCAGAGATGAAGAAGTTCCCGGACAACGACCTCCTGCGCCACCTGCGCTTGGTCACGCAGGACGCGGAGAAGTGTGCCTCTGTGGCCCAGCAGCTGCTCAGCGGGAAAAGGCAGACCAGATTCCGATCTGGGGGAGGAAAGTCCCCGAACCAGCTGACGGTGAGCGAGCTCCGGCAGTTCGTGACACAGCTGTACGCGCTCCCCTGCGCCCTCAGCCAGGCACCGCTGCTGAAGGACCTTCTGAGCCGCGTGGAAGATTTCCAGCAGCAGAGCCAGAAGCTGCTCTCCGAGGAGGCGCCCCGTGCGGCCGAGCTGCAGGAGCTGCTGGACGTGAGCTTTGAGTTTGACGTGGACCTCCCGCAGCTCACGGAGGTGCGCGTCCGCCTGGAGCAGGCCCGCTGGCTGGAGGAGGTGCAGCAGGCGTGCCTGGACCCCAGCTCCCTCACCTTAGGTGATATGAGGCGCCTCATAGACCTGGGGGTGGGCCTGGCCCCGTACGCAGCCGTGGAGAAAGCCATGGCCAGGCTCCAGGAGCTGCTCACAGTGTCTGAGCACTGGGAGGACAAGGCCAAGAGCCTGCTCAGAGCCAGGCCCCGGCAGTCGCTGACCAGCCTGGCCACGGCCTTGAAGAAGATGGAGGAGATCCCCACCTACCTGCCCAGCGGGGCGGTTCTGAAGGACTCGGTGCAGAGAGCCAGGGACTGGCTGCAGGATGTGGAGGCCCTGCAGGTCAGTCACACAGGCCCGAGGGTGTCGGTGTGTCTGTTGAGAGCGAGAACGGGAAATCTGTTCAGGCCACTGTGCTGGGCTTCACTGCGCAGACTCGTCGTTTGGGTGGGCCCGGGCTTTTCTCGCTTTTCTGAGTTGCTCTCCTTTTTCTCGATGTTTAGGCTGGAGGGCGTGTGCCCGTGTTGGACATGCTGGTGGAGCTGGTCGCGCGAGGCCGCTGCATCCCCGTGCACCTGAGCCCCCTGCCACGGCTGGAGTCCCTCGTAGCTGAGGTCCAGGCCTGGAAGGAATGTGCTGCCAACACATTCTTGATGGAGAACTCTCCGTACTCCCTCCTGGAGGTGCTGTGTCCTCGCTGTGATATCGGCCTTTTGGGATCAAAGCAGAAGCAGAGGAAGTTCAAGAAGCCCTTGCCCAACGGGAAGAAGCGGAGCAGGCGGCTGGAGAGCCTGAGCGACCTGGAACGGGCCCTGGCCGAGAGCAAGGAGACGGCCTCAGCTATGGCGGCCCTGGGGGAAGCCCGCCTTTGGGAGATGGAGGCCCTGCAGTCCCTCCGCCTGGCCAATGAGGGGAAGCTGCTGGCGCCCGGCCAGGAAGCGGAGACGAAGGTCTGCCTGTGCCAGAAGGCCCCGGCCGCCCCGATGGTCCAGTGCGAGCTCTGCCGGGACGCC